TCTCCCTAGCTTAGGTTGCGGCATAGCATTGACGCCGATAATAGCTACAGTCCATTCCAAATGTTTTTTTGTTCCTCCTCCTGCTGTGTGCATAGACATAGGCAGTAGGTACCAGTGTGTATGTGTGTGCGTGTGTGTGTGGTTGGGAGACCAAAAGGAAGGAAAATTGGAGGCGGGCGCGCAGGCAGAGACGAGACGAGACGAGACGCAGTGGAAAGGGAGAGAAGCACCACACACACACCACATCCATCCACTGTGCTTGCTCTCGTGTGTGCAGTGCAGCGCAGAGTGCTGTCTGTCAGTCATCGGCAGCTCCAGGTGGGTGTGCGCAACTCGGCCAGTGAACGACAGCGATGCCGATCGGCAACGGCGCGAGGTTTCGGTGAACTCGGCTGGTGTCGGCACTGGTCAGCATTTGCGGTGGCTTGCCCCCCCCCCCCCCCCCCCAATGACTTCAACGCTATTCGTGCATTCGGGCTTGTGTCCCCTTAAGGAGCTGCTGCCAGGACGCCACAGGCGCCACAAATGAACAAGCGCCGCCAATGCAGATGCTGGCTGCTGGGAACAATCGTACGATGGTGACATGGGAGGCGTGATGGGAGAGAGTGGGTGCGTTTGAGAGAGAGAGCGGGCATCTCCTGGCTTGCCTGGGTACCTCAGTGCGGAGCACTTCGTACTGTTCGGCCTACCTCCCGAGCTCCCCTAGTTCCTCGGCCAATTTTTGTTGGCTCTCGAACACTTTGCGATGGAACCCCAGGTAAAACTCCAAATGTTGCGAGCTTGACTGGAGTCGACCCCCCTCCCCTCCCCTCCTCTCCCATTAACCCCTTGCTCTGTCAAAGTATTGACAGCGGCAGGCTGGCACAGTGCCCGCTTGGAGGGGTTCAACTTCAAGACGGAGAGCTTCGCGCCACATATGCGCAACAAGCCCAATTCGCTCCAGTCCGTCTGCCCGCCGCCCACTTTCCCATCGTTACGTCTCTCCCTCGCCGTCATTCGCCCATGCCCTCGGCCCCACCTAGGCAGCCTCTGTCACTTCCTCGATTCACTAGTGTCAGATGGAAAAGCGCGTGCCGGTGTCCACCAAGATGTCGTTGTGCGCCCACCAGCAGAGGGAAAAAAAAAAGAGGAGTGGCAGAAATTGTGATATGTGAGTGAGACATATGTCTTCCGTTTGGTGTGTGTGGCTTCCGACGACCTCGTGGCACCCACGCCGGAGCATGACGCCTCATTGAGCAAAAAAAGCCAAAAAAAAAAAAAGAAGACACTTTCCCACTTGTCTTGTGCCCTTTCCCGTGGTGTCTTGCTGCCCTTGGGGGGTGTGAGACAAGAAGAGGTTCTCTCATCCGCATCTTGTCAAGCAAGGCATGCCTGGTTTGGTGGGCGAAGGGCTAAGCTAACCGGCGTAGCTATGCCCCAACCACGGCCCGGTAGGTGATGCAATGCTCGTGATGTAGATGCTGTTGGTTCCGCAACGGGTCTGGTCCCTTTGTGATGTCCTTTGCCTCAAACTTTGCAATGGGTGTTGGCATTCAGTTCTCAATAGCATCGAAACGGTGCCCCGAATTCAAGGGGGATCGATCAATGGTGCTGGATCAAATTCGCAGACATCTGCAGGACCCGAATAATGAACAAGGGTTTGGGGTTTACCGAAAGAGACTTGGGGGGTCAATCATTGTCAATTATATGTATTGGACGACTTTTGGGGACGACCTAGTACTTCCGAGCACCCTTGGAGAAGTAACTATCAAGTGGCAGCGGCTGTCTGATGTTTCTGCTATTAAGACTTGGGAAGCTTCGAGATGTACCGAACGCGCGGAGAGCCGCCCATGAACACCACGCTTGAACTGATAAACAAATACATGCCCTTTTTTGTTTCCTCCCCAGTCGACATGAAACTACCATTTATAACAAGTACCCCCCCAGGCCCATCGAAGTCGACAATAACTGCCACGCTGTCATCGATGCGGTACTTCACACGACTCAGCAGTTGTCTTTCAAAACGCTGTTAAGTATACTAACTGTACCCTCACCTAAGGTATTCCTGACCTCATCTAAGATAGCTGTATCTTTTCAACCCTGGACGTTTTTTTCGCTCATTTTTCTATTGGATCTGGCGTTGCAAATGCTAGATAATGAGTTATTGCGCGATTTACAAACGATGGGATCTTTTTCCTAGAGCGGGGTCGTTTAGAATTCGTCATTTCGGCCTCAGGTTAACTGGTTGCGGGGCGATTGAACGAGCGGGGTGAGGACGGATTGTCAGATGACCATCGGGTCGGCCTGGAGGCCATTTCGTCGAAGCGCCGCTCATCGTAGTTGTTCGCGACGGATTGAGGGGAAAGAGCGCTGGAGGAGACCTGGATGCGCGTCGATGCGTGCGCGCGCCTGTGTGTTGTTGGTAGGTAGCCGTCTCGGATTGCGACATCTCGACAACACGAGGTTTCCATCACGTGCGCGGGCCATGTCCTTCTCGTAAGTCAGGGGGGCAGCAACTTTGCTGGCTGTGGCTTGGCTGGGGGTGCCTTGGGCGCGTCGCATTACATGCAATCACCGGTGTGAACCTGTCAGGGCACGTTTTGCCACGGGCACAGTGTAAGCGGAGACACCGACGAACGGCGTTCCCTCAGTTCTCAGGGCGATCTGGCATCATGCGCTAGACGATGGACCCCGCAGAGAGCCCCTTCATGCGATTTGGCGGCCCTATCGATTATGCGCTTGCGCCTGCGGGAGGATCACCTGTGGTGTAGGACGAGGCGTCGGCCCTTGCCGTAGCAGGCGCGGAATATCGCCACCCCTCAACAGGCTTCTGTCGCTCGAGATTCCGTCATCGAGATCCCGTCATGCCTCGCCCACGCCCATGCCAGGGCGTGCCATCAGAAACGCCTACTTGTAGCAGAGAAGAGGGGGGAAATGGGACTGCGTGCCGGTGGCCCATATGCAAGTCCGTTGGTTCCTCGTCCGTTCGCCTCGTTTTTTTTTGTCCCTTTCTGCGAAACAAAACGACGCCCCAAGCGACCAATACGGCCGAGATATACTACCAACACGCCTGGGTAAACGAGGTAGTTGCCGATTCGCCAACGGGGCCGCCAGTGCCGATACAAGCGATCACCCCTGACACCTCGTAAAGCAAAGTAGAGGGACATTGAGGACGCAAGGGCACAGAAGCAGAAGGTAGGCAGGCAGGCAGGCAGGCAGGTTGTAGTGCTATTTGCATGTTTATGCCGTGTTACCGCTGTTGGCGTGTTTCGATCCAGAGATCTGGGAATCGTTCGCGGCTGTCAGTGGCTCGACCAAAGGCAAGGAGAAGAGCCGACAGCAGGCAGAAGGGAAGTCGTGCTCTCATTGGCCTGATGCGGCGCCCGCGGCAATCGTTGCGCGGCAAACCCCAGTCCAGGCGCGCCAAAGCCCTGCCACTCAGCGGCAGGCCGTCGCTGCACTGCAGGCGGGAGATGATGGAGGGCATACTGGCAAGCCCCGTATTGGCAGCTGGGGACCACAACGTGGCCATGGCGGCATTGCTGCATCGCGGAGGGGGCAAGGCAGCAGGACTCGAAATGCCATGAGCCTGCCGCACGCACAGTAACTGACGGTGCGGGAGGCCGATCTTGAAACCTCTGCCGACAGACAAGATCAACAAAACGGCCCCTGATGCGGCCCGTGGCTGGCTGCTCGGTGGCCATGTTGGGCGTGTGCTCCTTCGACCGCCCCCCTATGTAATGTCGTCCGGCATGAGGCGTCCGGCGCGCCGGCGAAGGGGCGAAGAGGACGAGGATACGAAGAGGCGAAGAAGCGGCCGGCAGGCGAAGGGTAGTAGGGTCTCGACTCGGCAAGTCGGGGGACTGTCATTCCTCCTTTGGGGGTTACCTCCGACTCCCGACTAGACGGACAGTGACAATATTGCTGCGTGCTCACTGGCACACAGCAGCAGCGCCGGCGCTTCCATGCACGTTGTCCCAGTGCTGATCCGTGATCGATTCCGGCACCACAGCATTGCAACTGCGACCAACACCCAACAATTTAGCGTGGAAGTAAGCAGGCTTTGGCGACTCTAACAGTGAGTGGGTGAGTGCCGCCGCTTCTCCTTCTCCCCCGCAATCGTCGGTCGCATCCCATATGGTCGCCCGGAGTCGAGTCGGGAGGGAGGGCGCAGTTCGGGCGGATTCGGGCCCCCAAGGCGCCCCTCAGCCCTTGGCACTCCCCATCCGCCAACCACTTCGTCCGTCCCGTTGTCGTAGTGGTCGTGTCGTTGGGGGCGAGGGGCAGCCTGGCCGCAGGGATGGCGCGTTTCCTCAAGGTGTGGGCCACTTTGATATCCCTGTCTTGACCAGCCATCTGATTGGGTTCCGTGCTGTCGGGTCCGCCAAGACACGGCAAGTTCAGCGACCAATCTTTGGCGCGTGATGGGAGCAGGGGTGGTGCTGGCTGCGACGAGGGGAGGAGGGGACGCCCTCAAGGCGGAGAAGACTCTGCCGCCGAGTGTGTTTGAACCCACTGAAACCCACTGGTGTGAGGGTCGAGCCGGCAAATATGCAAGTTTGGCCGGGTGCAGGTGGTGGGCACTGGGCCAACTGACAGGCGGCGGGACTCTGCGATCGGAATGATGTGCTGCTGTGAAGGAAGGACCTAGGGGCGTGCAAAGAACATCAGCCGAATGGGCATTCTCGCGACATTAGCTCAGGCTGACAGGGCCCTACCCGACCTTAGCTAACGTTTGTGACCCCAGGCTAAAAGCCACCAAATGAATCTAAGCTTATCGCGACCGCGCAGCGTTGCAACCGTGCTGGGCATTGGGCAATGAGAAGCAAGCCTAAGCGCGGATGACACAGCCTGCGATCGCCCCCTGTTGCAGGACCGATCATGGGCGTGATCTGGGCGGCCACCCCCCCTGCAAGACCGCCCTCCAGTCGCCAACACCACGCGCAACCACACGAACCAGTCATGGAGCAGCTTGTGCAGCGTGCTGGAGAGGATGCAATGGCGAAACAGGCAAAAAGAAACACTCAACGCGGGATTCGAACCCGCAACCTTAAGATATCGCCTCAACCCTCGTTCTGAGTCGAGCTGCGAAGTAGAAGTCATACGCGCTGCCAATTGCGCCAGCCGGGCTCCATATTGCTTGCTGGATGTTCCTTGTTCGTTGCACTTTGGCTCTTCAACCTAGGGCACCGGGCATTTTGGACGTTCGTCGGACTCGGCACAGAACCATCTAGCGTTGTCCATGTCGCGTGTCCAGCGACTGCGAGCAAGGTTGATGCTGGATGCGGGGAGAGGGCTCGCTGTTTGGCTCTGCTTCATGGCGCTTGATCCAGTTTCTGCGCATCCAAAAGTCCAAGTTACACTGTGCTTGCTGCCGGCTCGGCCCAAGCCACGGCTGACCAGTAAATTCGCAGAGGAGTTCTTCAGGGCGCAATCCGTCTGTGCAGTCGACAGGTTGGAGCTGGCTCTTCTTCGACTGCTTTGTGGCCCCTACAGGGACGGACCACCACACCCGCAAGACACAAAACGGCGAGCTTTGCAGAATACTGACTAGGGCGACACCCCTGCAGGGAGAGCACTTTGTGTTCGAGGCTGCTTCACTTTTGGCCGCTGCTCGAAGTTGATGAACCTGTACGGAGTGGTCCTCGCCGTCACACAACGAGGGTTTTCGTTGTTCTTGGCCAAACCACCATCAGAGTTGTTGGCTTGCTGCAGAGACACGGATTCGTCGTATATTTGTTGCTTTGATCGTCGCGGCTGCCGCATGCTCTCATGAGCAAGCATCAAACGCAACTTTGACGAGGTGATGTGCGCGGATGAGGGATGAGGGGTAGCGTAGCGAGCTGCTGTCGCGCAACAAATGCAAAGCGCGGCGTCGGCCAAGGTTGGTGGCCACCTGTCACCAACCCTCCATCTTCCCAATCCGGCAGAAGCCTCGCGGACGCCGAGACCGGTGATGGCTCTCGGGTCGGAGCAGGATTCCTTCTCCGACCGCCGCACTGCGCCATGCAGGGTGAGAGGACAGCGTCTTGAGCTCTGCAGCAGCACCTACTGGTCGGTGACTAGCAGCCTTCAGTTGCGCAAAGCCAAAGTGCCCCTCGCATCCCCACCACAGCAGAATGCTCATATGGTATGGGGTACCAAAGGGAGCGGCCCGCGTGGTTACAGTACATGAAGCGAGCTGATCACCATCCGGTGGACGCGCGGAGATTGTGAATGTGGACGATAGAATCGATGCATGCGAGATATGACGGACGATCATCAGGGAAGCTGGTTCGCAATGGGTGGGTGTGTCGCCTTCTCTCTGCTGCTGTGTTACCCGGCCGCTCCCTGCCCCTTCCCCGTTCCTCCCAGAAGGGCCTGGAGGCCAAGCACCCGAGGTGATTCGTCCAAAGGGGTGATGCAACGCCTAGTCCGTAACGAGGTGCAGATGTGACACCTGCGGAGCGGCTTTGACAGGTGATCATGGTGGGGTGCTGAATGGCAGTCGAAGCCCGGCCTCTTCCAACTGGTCGTCGCCCTCTCATCATCCGTCGGTTTCCATCCCCTCCTACATGATTGTCAATTCCAGACATGCAACCATCTCGAAGAGCAAGAGGCCGTCCGGAGGTCACAATGGGACAATGAGGGAGGAGCACACCCTCAGCGAGCCATGGCAGGAAAGAAACCCCAGCGACTGGCCTGAATGGGTGCGGGTGCGCACCGCATGCGTGCTCTGCTGGCTCGCGGACCGAATTGAGTGACAGGTGTTGAAACGTGGGCAACTTGCTCACTTATCATGCTGCGCCCGAGGTTTGCTGCTGCAAGACCTGGGCATACATGGATGTCCACCAATCCTGATGCTCAGCCAAACCACAATCTTATCCACACAGGGAAGCATTCTGGATCAGCGGTCAAGCGCAGCCTCCTCTCATTGATCCGATCGAATTTCTGGAAGCGGGGGGCCGTCGATCCCTCCGCGTTTCCGCCAGATCTCGATAGAATCGACGCCCAACCAGGTACATGGGACGGTGGCACCAAGGCGCTGCTCTGAGAAGCGACAGTGGCTCGAGTGGGCAGCGTAGCTCGCGAACCTCTTTTACCCCAAGCCGCTAGAATCGCTGAGCTGCGTGATCGTCTGCAAGATAGAGCAGTCATGGTGATCATAGTGTTCCCTCAATAAGGTACGCTGATGACCAACAAGACAGCAGCAACCCAACGCGTGTGTGCCCCCCATGCTAGCCAGGCCTCTGTTTGGCAAACAGGCTTTCTGATCGTCCGGCTTTGCCAGCATGAAAGCCGAGAACGGGTGCTGAGCGATCGGCCCGGGTCGGGATACGGTCGGGGGTTTCTCACAAGCCCGATAGCTTATCACCAGGTTTTCTTGCGCGGGGCTCGCTAGTTCCAGACGCAATAGGGGATGAAGATGAAATGTATGTAAACCTTCGGAGGGTGCCGACGCGACCGGAAAGTTCCCTGGCAGGTGGTTTTGAGCTCGAGAGCCATGATCCTTGCTGCATCAAAGCCTGCATTGACACACCCGTCAACAAAGGCCATGGATCGTCAGAAATTATCCGAATTTGGCCTCCTTCAAAGCCACGGCGTTCTGCACTTTTGGCAACAGCAGCTAGGAAGCCCGGGAGCTGGAGCCGACTTTTTTGATAGGGAGTCGATATATTCGGAAGCGGCTGCAGTAGCAGCATGCAGCCCCCCATGCCAATCCATTTGTTCCGTTTGGGGGTGCTCCCAATGGGGGGTCACACAAGCTCGAATTGGCTGATATTTGAAGCCGGCGAAGCTGCAGACAGCAGGCGTTCGCGGAGCTGGTTCCTCATTCTGGCATCGACAGTCGGCGGCCTAATGCGATTCTGGCAGATGCATCAGAGATGATGAGTGATTTGTCATATTGTCATTTGACAACAAAGTCCCTTCGTGGCTGGCATCGGCGAACCAGGAAAGGGAGGTTGTGGAACGGTCCCGCTCCGTGTCCGTGGATGTCGTCGGGAAGGTTAGAGTTGACGCTTTGCCCGCGGCATCAAAACCGGATGCGGTATTGCTTGCATGTGCCGCTGTCAGATCCCCGGCACCGAGATGACCTCCGTCAGGCTTATTGGTAGGAATCAGCGGCAGGCGACCCATTCGACAGCTGATACATCAACTGAATGATCGCGCGTTGCCAACGTGGCCCAGCGACCTGCCGCCTGGAGTAACTGGAAGTGTAGACCAATGCACAATGTAAGCGTCATCGTTCTGACCTCATGGACGCCATGTTTAGGATTGGTGCGGATGGGAGCGCACAACAGCGCCGAGGCTTCTGCTTGGCTGCAAATTCCTTGCTGCGTGTGCGCTGTTCCAGGTTCCTCTACCCCCGTGAGCCCATCAGCGAGATGGCAAGATATTGTTGACATGCCAACCCGGGGACATCTGGGCTCAGACAATAGTTTGAGAAGCCGTATCGTATGTCGATGAGGCTGAAGGGCCTGCTGTCCCCGGTGACGTTGAATGGGCATTTCTGATTTGTAAATGATGCTGGATATCCACATCTCCACGCTGGGCCAACAGAATGTCAAGTTCCAAGTTTGGTGGTAACCGCGATGGCGGCTAAGCCAGGGACCTCGATATTTGTGACCAACGTACCGGCTAAATGGGCGACCCTTCCGCTGTGTTAAGATCCGCCGGGTAAACGGGTCGTTTGCTGAGAGCCTCCTCATGTTCGGGAACCTCCATTGCCACATGCGTCGATTGCCAGGCGTAACCAAAGCACATATCAAGGAATTGGGGAGAGCGAGCGACAATGAGACTCCCCGCGCTGCTCCTCACAGCAGCGCTGTCGTTGACTGCCGCGTTGGAGTACCCTCTTTCGCAGAGACCGAAGCTCCTCCCGATGCCTTACAGCCCACGACTTCCATTTCCGAATCCCCCACGGCGCTCAAGCTCCAGGGTGTGCGTCGTGAACACACATGGGGATGGCACCACAGACGATTCACTCAGCATTCTTTTCGCCTTCCACCAGTGCAACGATGGGGGCCATGTGCTCTTTCTCCGAGATGTGACGTACATCGTTGGTGCGGCCATGGACCTGACATTCTTGAAGCACGTTGATGTCGGTATGACCAGACCATGCTCGCCTTGATCCGTCCCGCAGTAGCTGGTCCGCTCAAAGGCTGACTGTCCTGCCGGGAAAGACATCCAAGGCCGGATCCAGTTCAGCAACGACACGCAATACTGGCAGGAAAACTCCTTTCGATTTGGCTTCCAAAACGTCACTTCTTTCTTCGTACTTGGAGGAGAGGATGTATGGGTTTACGGAGGTAAGACTCCCAGGCAACCCCCTTCTCTGGATGTGCCACATCGTTCGTGCCCCCTCACGGCCGTAACGAAGGGCAATTCGGGATTTAAAAGTCAGGTTTCCTCCGGCACCGAACATTCTGCGGAGGGTGGGCCTTCCAGAGAGGGGTCAAGGTTGTGACGTCGCTCGGCGTGAAATATCTGGTCAAAAGAGTCCGCCGTGTGTCGGGAGCGACCCATTGCTCCTTGCTCACCGGCCTGTTTTGGGCCGAGCTTCACCCACAGCGTCTGCTGTGACACCGCAGAAGCCGTGGCGGGAAGATGGGCCGGAACGCTTCAATATGCATTGTACTTGATGGCTGACGCAAGGCAGGTGGTACACTCGACGGCAATGGGCAAGTGTGGTACGACGAGTATGCCAGAGACGTCTTCACTCTGCGCCCTGTGCTTTTTGGCGTCGATGGACTGAGAGACAGCGTGGTTTCCGACTTGAAGTTGCGTTGGAGTCCGCAGTATTATCACTTCGTTGCAAACTCCTCCAACGTCGTGTTCAACAACATCGACATCGCTGGCGACAGCAGGAGTCAGAACAGTGCTAAAAATACCGACGGATGGGACACTTACAGAAGCCGAGATGTGACCATCATGAATTCGGTCATCGACAACAGCGACGGTGAGTCGGTGCTCCAGAACAACAACGCCGGGTGCGCAGAGCCAGAGGCTGATCTCACCGAGCCTCCCGGGACAACCCGGGGGTGACGCTCTGGAGGGGGTGATGCTTCGTGCCCGTCCACTGGACTGACTGTGCGTGTGACAGACTGCGTCTCCTTCAAGCCGAACAGTACCGATATCTTGGTGCAGTC